ATTTAAACTGCTCCTGGGAAAGTGAGGCCTTTTCTCCCCACTCCTCTACCGGTTACCCCTACCCCCACCCCTCCCCCAACCCCCCACTTCCCCTACCCCCAAATCCCCATCTGAGAATGCAGAAATCCCATTAAACCTGGATATCCTTTAATTCGACTCTATGTCATTTGGCTTGATTGGGATTTTTGCTAGGCACAGAGCTAGCATTACGAAAATTCCTAACAACTAGGTGTAGAGACAGTGCTCTTAACAGTTAAATCATCTCTCCAGCCCTTGTGTAAAGTTCTTTTTGATTCCGTTTTTACTATTGTGTTTTCTTCATTTCTAATTTAGTGTGCTGGCTTTTTTCCCCCTATTCCTTTACAGTTGATAAGTTATTGCCCATTGTTAACAACAGTGACTGACACTTTTCTGGTTTTGTTCTATTTTCTATTAAGATAAAGTTTACAGCAGCGTAGTACTCTAATGTGTAGATATTCCATACTTTCTTCATCCATTCTTCCATTGAAGGGCATCTAGTTTGTTTCCAGGTTCTGGCTATTACAAATAATACTGCTATGAACATAGTTGAACAAATGCTTTTGTCATATGATAGGGCATCTCTTGGGTATATTCCCAAGAGTGGTATTGCTGGGTCCAGGGGTAGGTTGATCCCGAATTTCCTGAGAAACTGAAACACTGACTTCCATAGTGGTTGCACAAGATTGCATTCCCACCAGCAATGGATGAGTGTACCCCTTCCTCCACAGCCTCTCCAGCAGAGGTTATCGTTAGTGTTTTTGACTTTAGCCATTCTGACAGGTGTAAGATGATATCTCAAAGTTGTTTTGATTTGCATTTCCCTGATTGCTAAGGAAGTTGAGCATGACCTTAAGTGTCTTTTGGCCATTTGAACTTCTTCTGTTGAGAATTCTCTGTTCAGATCAGTGCCCCATTTTTTAATTGGGTTAATTAGCATTTTAAAGTCTAGTTTCTTGAGTTCTCTATATATTTTGGAGATGAGACCTTTGTCTGTTGCAGGGTTAGTGAAGATCTTCTCCCAGTCAGTAGGTTGCCTTTGTGTCTTAGTGACAGTGTCCTTTGCTTTGCAGAAGCTTCTCAGTTTTAGTAGGTCCCATTTATTCAATGTTGCCCTTAATGTCTGTGCTTCTAGGCTTATACAGAGGAAGCGATCTCCTGTGCCCATCTGTTGTAGGGTATTTTCCACTTCGGTAAAAAACAATGACTTCTAGAATTTTGCATGCAAATGGATGGAAATAGAAAACACTATCCTGAGTGAGGTATCCCAGACCCAAAAAGATGAACATGGGATGTACTCACTCATAATTGTTTTCTAGCCATAAATAAGGGTCACGGAGTCTACAATAGGTGAATCTAAAGAAGCTAAGTAAGAAGGGGAACCCAAGGAAAAACATATAGTTATCCTCTTGGCTAATGGAAGTAGACAAAATTGCCAGGGAGAAAATTGGGATCTTGGGGGTGGGGTGGGATGGGGGTAAGGGGAGATGGGGAGAGAAAAGTTAGAAGGGAAGGAGGTCGGGCCTTGGGAAAACAGGAGGATTGGGATAAAGGAAGGTTGGACAGGGGAGCACGGAACCACAATTCTTAGTTAAGGGAGCCACTTTAGGGTTGGCAAGAGACCTGACCCTAGAGGGGCTCCCAGGTGCCCAAGCTGAGGTCCCCAGTTAGTTCCTTGGGCAGTTGAGGATAGGGAACCTGAAATGACCCTATCCTAGAGCAATACTGATGAATACCTTGCATATCATCATAGAACCTTCATCTGGTGATGGATGGAGACAGAGACAGAGACCCACACAGGAGCATTGGATTGAGCTCCCAGGGTCCCAATGAGGAGCAGAAGGAGGGAGAACATGAGCAAAGAAGTCGGGACCACGAGGGATGCACCCACCCACTGAGACAGTGGAGCTGATCTATTGAGAGCTCACCAAGGCCAGCTGGACTCTGACTGAAAAAGCATGGGATAAAACTGGACTCTCTGAACATGGCGAACAATGAGGGCTGATGAGACGCAAAGGACAATGGCATGGGGGTTTGATCCTACGTAATGTGATGGCTTTGTGGGAGCCTAGCCAGTTTGGATGTTCACCTTCCTAGATATGGACGGAGGGGGGAGGTCCTAGGTCTTACCACAGGGCAGAAAACCCTGACTGCTCTTTGGACTGGAGAGGGAGGGGGAAAGGAGTGGGGGGAGGGGGAGAAGGGTGGGAGGAGGGGGCGTAGGGTGGGAGGAGGGGGAGGGAAATGGGAGGCTGGGAGGAGGTGGAAACTTGTTTTTTTTTCTCCTTTTCTCAATAAAAAAAGAAAAAAAAGATAAAGTTTACATAACATAAAATTTACCATCTTAGCCAGTTATAAAATTTGGTGTCTACTGGCAATGTTATGAAACTGTTAGGATCCAACCATGGAAACTGCTTCCTGGAAACCAGATTCAAATGTCCTTACAGTTCTCATACCTCCAATCCTTTGCAGAGTAGCTTTAAGGTATTATGAGGTCTGATGCCCCAGTCTGGTATCGAACTCTTATATAGACATGGACGGCCTTGAATTTCTGATACTCGTGCCTCCACCTCCCAAATGCTGAATTATAGGCATGTGTCACCATACCTGGTTTATTCTGTGCTAGTGTAAGGGATTAAACCCAGAGAGCTTCAGGCAAGTTAGGCAAGCATTCTAGCGACTAGGCCACATTCAAGACTTCCACCCCTTTTTGAGACAGAGTATCTCTCATATATAGCAGACTGGAAACAAGGAATCTTAGACTTCTTATTTTCCTGTTCCAAGCGCTGTAGTAAAGTGTGCACCACCACACTTGGTTTGTGTGGTTCTGGGGACTGAACTCAGGGCTTCATGTATGCTAAGTAAACACTCTACCTACTGAGCTATGATACATTCCTAGCCCCTTTTGTGTTTCTTCCATTTCTTTTTCTTTTTTCTATGGTAATGAAAACTGAACAGAAGGCCATGCACTTGCTAAGCAAGCGCTCTTCCACTGACCCACATTCCCAGTCCTACCTTCTGACATCCATTGAAAACAGACTTACCTCCCTTTATGCACTCATCTCAGTACTCCTTCTTATATCTTCAGGTCTGTTCTTTGGTCTACTTTTTGAGGTAATTTTAACATCTTTTTTTCTCATGATCTAAATAGAATCTTTAAATATGTTCATTTTGTAAAAACTCTAAATCTTAAATTACAAAAAAAATCACAGAATCTTGCTTCTTGTACAGAGAGCTTCAGTGACTATAACTGTGGCAGGAACCTGAAAATACTTTTTAGCATCTCCTCTGCTTTACCTTCATATCTAATTAGTCATCAGTCATTCCTTCTCCATATCTTTAATATCGTTTCAAGAATCCATTCTGACCATTCTACTCCAATGCATTATCACTGTCCCCTACACATTGTAGTGACACACTTACTGTCCTTCCTATTCCTTCCCAGACTATCTTCCAATTCATTTCCAAGGGTGGTCATTTACTAATACTAAATCTGCTTGTGACACTGTATCACTTAGAACTCATCAGTGGCTTCCCATTCCATGTGGGCTAACACTTTAAATCTTAAGATGCTCTATATTGTTTTTCCGTAGTCTCTGCCTCATTGGCCATTTTTAAATATAAATCTATGTTCTGGAAAAGTCTGACTCATTTCCAACCTTGGTTAGAATCCACAAAGTCTCCTTAACTTTTACTTTGCATACTTTATCAGAAGTAAAATAAATACATGATTAATGATTTATTTCATGTCTGTCATTTTCTTTCAAGGTGATAGGAGCCTGTCCATTTCATTAACACTTTATCGTCAGAGACAAGCGCAGAGACTAGAACACAGAACATACTCAATAGATACTCACTGCATCCATGAATGAAACTACACAAATCTAATCTTAGCTCACAGTTCCTCTAGTAGACTGTAGGTATGATTTCCCTCTTCAAGTAGATGAAAAGAACACCCTCTACCTCATGGGACACCATGAGAAACAAATGCTACGAGGTTCAGCACAGTACCTGCCATAAAATAAGTGTCCATGGAACAATCTTTATTACAGTCAATTTTACCTCCTATAGTAAAATACAGAAGGGTACCCTCAAGCAAGACGAATGGTAAGCTGTCTGAACCTTCCCAGAGCAGAATAATCTTAGAATTCTAACCTGGGTTTAAGAGCAACATATCCTCTAAGATCCCAGTGATTTGATCAAGCTTCTGCTGACTAAACTGAAGAAGTCAAAGACTGCCCACCTTATCCAAAATGAAGTTTCACAGAGACAGGGTGTGTTATTTGTTAACTATACAAAAATTTTGTAATAGTGCATGATGTTATTTATATAAAATAGGCACAATAGACATATCCACAGAAATAGCAAGAAGATTCGCAATTGCTAAGGACAAGAGAACAAGGAAAAAATAGTGACTGATAATGTGTAGGTTACTTCTATGTTCTAAATTTTAGAGTCTAAAATGATAGGTAACAGTTATGTTGGCACAACACTATAAATATACTAAAACTACTGAATTTGCTTTACAAATTAGACTGCAGTTAAAAAGAAAATAACCCTTTAGCTATCATGTAGATGGCTCAAGACCACAAAAATGACTCAGTTTCACAACTGGAAGCAGTACCACGCTGTAAAGGAGGCCTAAACTCTGCCCACATGGACAAGAGGTGAGTCTCTAAGAACATATCAGTATATTAGTCTTCAATAAATTCTAACTCCCACATATTTGAGCCACCTCAGCTGGTCCACACTAGAGCACAGATAAACTTATCCTTTTGAACCCTGACCAAAATACAGATTCATAAGCCCCCTCCTCCAAAAAGTGTTACCATTTTAACTTACTGGGAGTTTAGGTTAGCAAAGAGAACACAGATTCAGAACAAATGAACATCTAAATGGGTTTCACCCAAATAAAAATTGTTTTGCTTCTCATTTTGAACCTCAAATAAAAACAGAAAATAAAAAAAAACATGCATACATACTTCTTCCAGTAGAGATGTTCTGCTGCAACACGGTAATATACAGCTGTAGGGTCAGTTGTGGGGCAGAGCCTAGGAAAGCCTGGATCACTGATGCCCGACTGAAGGCGGAACGGTGGGTAAACATCTTGCCTTCTGCCTGGCCCACCTCCTTCTCAACCTCCTCTGAGAGGCCATCTTTTGGCATCTGTCGTTTCTTAGTGATGCTCACATAAGGCTCTTCATTCGGGTTGGACTGACAGTAGAGGCAAAAGACTTCAAAACACCTAGGAACAAATTAATGAGTCATTGCAATTAATGACTGGCAGAATTCTGTCCTTTCCCAGTCATCTTGTTTTCACTTAGCCTGATTCTCAAACCCTTGCCCGGCTATTCTAAATCTCTAAGGATCAGTTCTTAGGGGTTCAGTCTTCTACAAGGACTCCAGTAGACCACTGGGAATTGAGCAAGAATCAAGAAAAGGTGACACTGAAAGCTACCAAGGCAAAGAAAACAAGACAATGGGAAGCAGTTAACACTCTAGAGCCACAGAAAAAAATGGTTAGCTTTTCTTCCTGACATACATTACCTGTGCAGCTGTAGATAAAGCCCTTAGATTCTGAACTTTCCCTCTCAATAATAAAATAGAGAAAACACATACTTTGTCATCCTGCTACGAAAGAGGACTAAAGGGTATAGGGCTGTGTGTAAACGTTCCACATAAAACTGATGCCACAAACCAGCCTAGTTAAAAAAGGATGTGCAGGCTCACTTAATCATCTCAGCACTCTCTAGAGTCTAGAGGCTGGGGAAGAATAATTGTCAAGCATTCAAGGCCAGTGTGGGCTATACAGTGAGTTATAGATGAGCCTCAGCTACAATAAGGCTGAGAGATGGTGGAGGAAGCGGGGATGGAGGGAGGGAGGAAGGGAGGGAGGAAAGGAGGAGAGGAACATGAAGATGAATGAAATTAGGTACTTTTATAGCACATAGTTGCTAAATGCTAAGAATTTAGAATTCATTGAAAGACCACATATTATCTATTTTTTTATCCTAATAATCCCATATTGGCCATGGTAAATTCAAACATGCCTGGGGTTGGCAAATGCCTTATTTAAGGAGTCCGAAGCCTGCTCTAGGGACACATCCTTAAGGAACCAGTGTCTAAAATTTTTGTCTCTAGATAATATTATAGATAGACACTGATGGAAAGAAAAAGTACTGGTGGCTATGATTTGTTTAAAACAAATACACACAGAGAGAGAGAGACAGAGAGAGAGAGAGAGAGAGAGAGAGAGAATAGATTTGATGGATGGATCAATGGAACAATGGAAAGGTACATGAAACAAAATGTTAATTATAGAATCTAGGATGCAGGTACTTGGGTGTACAAGTCAATAAGATTTTCTTCTGCATGTTTGAAAGCTTACATAATGAAATGCTAGGAAAAACAAGTTTTCCCTTAGTTTTAAACATTGACTTTTATGCCCTAAAACAAGCACTTTCATAACAATCTTATAACGCTGCTAGATTTTATGGCTTCACTGGGTTTATAGAATGTTGTTAACTTTATAATATCACCTGGAGGTATCTATGACAACCTAAGTACATTTATAATTTGAAATAGTAAATTAAAACCTTCTTTTTGATGCATGAAAAGAAATACAACAACCTTTCCGGTAAACACGAAGTGGACAGATTTCATGATTATTACCTTTGTTCACTTCTTTCTAGGGGGAAGAAAGTGTGTGGTTTGTGTATTGGGGAAGTCTGTCTACTGTCTTGTAATATATATTCAATCAAAGATGATTGTTGGAGCATCGAAAGTGGAAATGCATAGAAGATCGAATAAAATGGTCATGGTATTTATTCTCAAAGTTGTGATGACAGCAGATGTAGTTTACTAAATCTGTCTACTATCTATCTTGTAATATGTTTTCAATCAAAGATTCTTTAATATATTTTATCAAGACATGGCAGTATAGTCTAGTTTGTTCAGAAGAAAAAAAGATAATACTTTAGTTCATGAATTCAAGGCTATCTCCTCCAAAATTTAAACCTTTGACTGACAATGAACACCCCTGTTACTATTGTTAGACCATCAAAAGTGGTAAGGTGTAGAAGAGAGGTTAACGTGGTCGTGATATTTATTCTCAAAGAGGTGATGATAGCAGATGTACTTTACTAGATAGCTTGAAGACTCCGACTCCATTCATTCAGAGGTGCTCACTTTCTAGATAGGATAATGGAGCATATACAGAATAAATATAATATGTAACACAACAATATTTATGTTGTACTTTTAGTTCACATGATAGTTTCTGATATACCAGCTCACAAAGAAACCTTACAAAAGAATTTAAATCAGCATCACTTCTAATAGCAAAATAATGGGATTATTTTAGAGGTCTTTAAAATAAAAGGATAAATATATACAAGCACATCCATTCAACTAAATACTATGTTGTTCTCAAAACCAACAGTTGAGGAAAATGTCTAATATAAATAGCATCTGGTGAGATGGCTTAGTGGGTGAAGGTGCTTGCTACCAAACCTGAGCATTTGAGTTTAATCCCTGGGTTTCTGTTAAGTAGTGAAAGAAGAGAACAGACTCTCCCAAGTTGTCCTCTGACCTTCACACAGGCACCCAGATATGTGTGAGACATGTGTACATGCACGCAAACACAGACACACAAATACACAATCAAATTTACTTTTTCAAAGAAATTAAAATCCTGGGCTTGGAATATAGTCTGCTCAGCATGTATTAGGCTCTGGATTCAATCCATAACAATCTAATTTATTAAAATAAAAATACATTTATCATATTTGAAAAAATATTTTATCATATTTGATAAGGGAAGCAATTTTTTCAGTTTCTTTTTTTTCCTTTTTGTAAATTGATTTTTATTGAGCTTTACATTTTTCTCTGCTCCCCTCCCCTTCAACCCTCTCCCAAGGTTCCCATGCTCCCAATTTACTCAGGATATCTTGTCTTTTTCTACTTCCCATGTACATTAGATCTATGTAAGTCTCTCTTAGTGTCCTCACTGATGTCTAAGTTCTCTGGAATTGGGAAGCAAATTTAAGAGAAACCGTCAAACATATATTCACACAAACATACACATGAACAGTGAAATGACAGAACTGAATTATTGTGACTCAAAAGTGCCAATTGTTAAAAAGAAATTGTGTAAACAAGTTGTTAAACAACTAGCACATTGGTCAGACTTGATGGGGATAAATTTTGTAAATTAGTAAACTGCTGAAATTTGGGTTCATTTTTCCTGACAGTTTACAATCATACCCCATAAAATTACTAGCAAGGATACAAAACAAAGCATTAAGAATTATTCTGTTTAGGCAGTTGAATTAAAGATTTTATTTTCTTCACTGTACAAATATATTTTGTTTCTCTGTTATTTTAACAAATACTCTTTACTCGTGATTTAAAAGTTAAAGTTAGAGATTTTAAAGACCAAAATAAACAAGCAAAAGGTAGAACATGCTAAAAGCTGCTCTAAGAAATGAATGAATGAAATAAGGGTTTGTATAAAAATGAAACTCTATTGATGTTTGAGGAGAGTATATAAAATAGGAATCATTTATAGAATTTTTTTAAATGAAACTTGAGATCAACTTATGCAAATGACAAAGTTTCCAGCAAAAATAAAAAAATAAAAAAAAAATAATGGCACAGGAAGCTCCAATGTTGGAGCCTCTCACAATTCACTGCTTTCCCCAAGTGATTTATTTGTCTTTGTCCTCCTTTTAGACAGGGTCTCTCTATGTTGTCCTGGCTGTCCTGGAGCTCACTATGTAGACCAAGCTGGCCTTGAACTCATAGAGATTCACCTGCCTCTGCCCCTGAGTGCTGGGATTAAAGTTATACACCACCATGCCTGGTATATCTTAACAAAACTTCAAACAATGTATCTTATAAATTTATGAACTGTTCCAAGACCTCTTACTACTACTACTACTAAACACTTACTACTACTTCTAAAAACTAAGAAACAAACTATTGTTTTCTTAAAATTCTGCCAAGACTCATCTAATTACTCCAATGTTGCTTAGAGGGTTTGTTTTAATTGTTTCTCTGCACGAACTACTTGAATAAAATCACCCAAGGTAAGAGCTAAGGATGTAGGTCAGTGGTAGAGGACCAGCATCCTTCATAAAGATTATTCAAGGTAGTTTTTCAATATCACATACTCCTTTGGTCAGGAAGCTTTTGTGTAATGTAAGTATTTTAGGTTCTATAGGCTATCAGGGTCTCTGCGCAACTCTGCCTCTGCAGACAAATAATATATAAAGAAATGGCTATAGATAGTTATATTCCAATAAAACTTTATTTACGGGGGCTGGAGAGATGGCTCAGAGGTTAAGAACACTGACTGTTCTTCCAGAGGTCCTGAGTTCAATTCCCAGCAACCACCTGGTGGTTCATAATCATCTGTAATGAGATCTGGTTCCCTCTTCTGGCCTCCAGCCATATATGGAGGCCAAATGTTTTATACATAATAAATAAATCTTAAAAAAGAAAGAAAATAGAAAAAAAAACTTTATATTTACAAAAACAGGTGGTGGCATGATTTGGCCAGTGGAGCACAGCCTGAAAACCTCATGATGATCTTTGCTGTAGATATTTAGTAATTTGATCATTTTTTTCACTCAGTTCCATTTTCTAGCATAATATAATTTATTTGTCAATCATAACAGCAGTTTGTCCCCTAGGTAAAACTAGGCATGTTGGTGGCAGCACAAATGACTTGAGGTACCAAGGACCCTAATGAAAATACTTTTTCCAAAGAAATATTTGGTTTTTCCAGAATATTTAGTATAACTTAAAGATTTTCCTTCCAATTGGAAAAAAGATAATTCAAGACACTATCCAGTTCATATTAGAAAAAACTATAGAAACTATAGCTAAACATTTAAATATATGACTAAAATTATAATAAATAAATGAACTAAATAGTTCTGCCAATGACTCCCTGGAGTAATAAAGGGGTAGAAGTGAGCTAACAGTTACAGTCCATAATCATTAGTGGAAGGTATTACAGACTAAGGATCTGACATATTAAGGCAAGCACTATATAGAATAAAATATATATGCACTTTAATTGGGTCATATTGTATGAACTCAATAACAGCATCTCCCTAAAAATGGTAGTTTGGCTACCCTAACTTGAGTAGAAGTAAACTGCCCCCAAACAACTTGAAAATATTACTAAAAACTATTGCTAAGGGGTAAAAGGGAAGAAATGTTGTGATTCCCTTGTTTGTGGAAATAACTGGATCTTTCTGAAAAGCTGATGATTTCAGAGTTCAAATTAGAACCTGTCATTAGAAAGAAATCTCAGTAATAATTTTTAAGTCCCATTAACCAAAAATCAACAAATTTCCTTTTCATTTGCAAGCTAAGGGTCTTGAAACCTTATTTTGTGTATCTCATTTCAAAGATCATGGGTCCATTACTTCTTGACATAAATCAGCTAATATCTGAATATGAGACTCTTTTCCTTAATAAAGTTTTTTAAGTACATTGATGACTGAAGAATACCAAAGAATTTATAATAAAGAAGAAATTTGTCTTATGTTCATATTTAGGAGGAAAAAAACCCTAAACTCACACTCTGCCATTCAGTTCTATTGTTCTTAACATCTTAATATACACCCTTGAACTCTAGATTATAGTTGCTGTTTTTATAAGCAATATTCTATCAGCTTTGTGTTGAGGTACTCTTAAGGTTAAGAGACACTTCTAAATGACAGCAATGATAGAGGATTCTTACTTGCCTGGTTACTTTTGGTTGTTTATTTTTTTTTTAAATTTTGCTCACAAATAATGAACCATTTAAAGCTTTGAAGATGGAACTGCTGATAAAGTGTACTGAACACTCTACTTTCTTTTACAGAACACAGAGAACATAATGAACCTAATTGCCTTTTGGAAGGAAGCCTTGGGAACATGCTCCAGAGCCTCATTTACTCCTTGTATAAAATGGGGACAGGGATTGAGAGCGCCTATAGCATTGGCGGAGCACGGGTTTAGTATGCCTAAGGTCCTTGATTCCAGCACCAAAATAACAGATACGCAGTGAACAAATCCAAGAGTCAATCAGCTAAGGCATGGAGGTGTGAACCAATCCTCTCAGCACCAGCAACCTTTGTGAATTCTCAGGTCCCCAAGCCACTCCACCCAAACATGAGTTTCCTCCCCACAGATGACATTAAATGATGAGTGCCTTGTCTAAAGTCAAACCTCACTTTGCTTCTCGAGCAGGGGCACTAGCAGGACCACAGGGCTTGCTTAGGAACATGGGTTCCCTACTAGCTATTTGATTGCCATGCTTCCTAAGTACCCCCAACCCAATTTTCTGATGCCTCCCTGACTGCCAGCAACACTACTACCAGCATAGATTTCTTGTCCTTTCTAGGAATCCCTAGTTTCTGAAGAATGGGGAACCTGTTTACCGAGTTTGCCATAACTGTTAAACTGCACAGTACAGTAAGCTAAAACGGTTGTGTTTAAAGTAGCATGCAAAGTTTTAATATTGTGAACGCTTTTTTAATCTGAACATAAACTTTTACTTTCGCATTTCCCCGAGTAAGATAAAAGATAGGAAAATAATACATTTAAATTCCCTTCAAGTTCTGAGATTAAAATCAGGTCTATTTCAAGACTGTGTACTTCTTGTTTTGTGTTCATAGAGATTAATTCTCAGGGCTAAGGATTTAGCCCAGTGGTAGAGCATTTGTCTAGCCTGTACCAGGCCCTGGATTGACTCCACAGCACCACAAAGAGCAACAACAACAACTTCTCCCCCCAGAAATGGCATTAACAGTTTTTCTTAACACATAGTAACTTCCTGTCTTCAAGGCACATTGTGTCCCAGATTTCATGACTATATTAGAAATTGGGCAGACTCAGAAGACATCTCTGGTACCGTATGTTTTCACGCTAGACAATAATCATCACGCTAAGAGAAAAGTAGGGTGCATGAATTTATAGACTTCTGTATATGAATTAAATAAATTTTAACAAAGCACTTAGAGTAGTGCCTGGTACACAGTTAAGTGCCATGTGCTTGATAAACAAAATTAAATGACCCATAAAGGCTCTGACTTTAACCGCGCTTAGAGTAACTTCTAAAGACCACGCATGCCAATCCTGCAGAAGTCCACTTGACCACAGAGAAAGCCACATACTTTTAGGAGACCAAAAAAAAAAAAAAAAAAAGGCAAAGACTGCTGCTCTTTTTGAGCAAATTCAAGTTAACATTGGCAATTCTATCTATGGGTTCTGAAATCCAGGACATCTCCGGAGACTGGAATGGGAAGGTTTGGGCAAGCAGGGCAGGTCAACCCTGGTTCTGGCCACCTGTCCCCTTCAGGAAGGCCTCTTCCCCAGCTGGGGCAGTAGAGGGGGACCGGCCAGGGGCTGTGGCCTAAGGGCGGGTTCTGGGTTCCACACGCACCTGAACAGGGGCCCAAGCTGGAGCAGGTGCATGAGCAGCACCAGTGGCCGATCGCGGCTGAGGTCGCGGTGGACGAAGAGAAGCGTGAACTGCACCAGAGCACAGGGCATCAAGGAGAAGAGCAGCGTCAGCGCCTGCCACATGCGGTCCCCATCGGAGCGGTAGGTGCTGCTCAGGTAGAGCGCCGCTATCATCTCGGCCACGAACAGGAACAGGGACACTAACACCAAGGCCGGGAATTTCATCTCCGCGCCTCAGAGACTCGCCCGGCGGGTGGCGGCGGCGGCAGCGGCGGCGGCGGTGATGGTTCACCGAGCGGTTCCCAGCATGCCCGGCCCCGAGCCGCCAGCACGCGGCGAAGCCCGCCGAGGGCACGCGGGCCCGGCCACACGCCCCACGCAAGCCTGAGCCCAGCCTGGGGGCAACCGCCACAAGGGGGTGGGGCGGGCAGCATGGCTCCGCTCGGACACGCCCACGCGCACTGTGCGCAGCCGCCAGCGCGCGCCACAAGCTCACGGAGGCGCTGGGGACACTGTTCCGGGCGGGTCGCGAACCTGCGCCTTCTGACCACAGCTGCCCGAGCACGCCTGGAGGCCGCCAAGCCAGCTGGCCCGCGCGCAGCCTCTGGGTCCTAGAGTCCGTAGGTCTAGGCTGTCTTGAATGCTTGCTTTCCACAAGCAGCAGAAACCAGAATTGGGGGTGAGGGAGTCTGAATTCCTTCCTGATCCACAATCCGTCTGGTTTCACGGACGGTTTTCAAGTCTGGTTTTCACTAATAAGGAAGCAGTTTCCAGACCCACACACACCTACCTCTGTTGGTATGCCAACCCCTAAGGCTAACACAATTCTTTTTCGCTCAACTGTTTATTTTAAAAACCTGAATACAATATATTTCAACGTATTCTTTCCCCTATCCTACTCTCCCATCCTTCCAACAACCCAACTTTATGCTATCTGTCACAAAAATACCTAAAATAAAAAACAGTAAGACAAAAAAAAGTCAAAATCAGCAAAATGAAACAAAAAGTACAAAAATAATTTAAAAAAAAAAACAACCAACAAACATGGAGTCCATTTTGTGTTGGCCCACTACTCCTGACCATGAGACCTGCCCTGGAGCGTGGCTGGCAGGTACTCACTGACACTCAATCGCAAAAACAGAACATATCAACTGCAAATATCTTCTTGGTTGGAGGTTGGAATTTGTGTCTACGTCCTTTTATCAGTGCTGGGATTTTGTCTGGTTTTACCCTGTACACATCCTGTGTACCCACTGAGTTTTTCACAACCTTCTATACATCAAGATGGACACCCCACCTCCCCCAGACACAGACACACACACACACTCCTCCACACCTTCTAAGATAATTTTCCATGAAGAAGCCTAGGCAGTTTGGACGCTCACCTTACTAGAGCTGGATGGAGGTGGGAGGTCCTTGGACTTCTCACAGGTCAGGGAACCCTGATTGCTCTTCCAGCTGATGAGGGAGGGGGACTTGATGGGGGGAGGGGGAGGGAAATGGGAGGCGGTGGCGGGGAGGAGGCAGAAATTCTTAATAAATAAATAAATTTTTAAAAAAATTAAAAAATAAATAAATAAATAAATAAAAATAAAAAAAAGAAATTGGATGATTTTAATTTTCAGGCATCTTGGGCATTTTACTATTTTGGAAAATGATGTAAATATAAACAAGATGTAAAGATTCGTAAGATCTCCACAAGAACGAAGAGAGGTGTGGACAAGTTGAGTCGTTTGACTTGGTTGTTGAAGTGACCTCAGAAAATCTATTTATAATGGTTCAAGGAGAATTGAGCCAAGGCCTGAGAAGTACCAGGCCCTTTCTCCAAAAGGATTACGAATGCCTATTTATAGAGACCAGCATGCCACCACGTCCTGGATCCAGATACACACAGTCACAAACAGAATCACCAGCAGTCCTCCACGGTGTATTTGTTTAATATTTTATTTGATACCATCATTAGCTTTAAAGGGTAACTAATGAGTAGCTACAAATAATTAATTAGAACACAATAACGGTTTAGCATCAGATCTTAAGGCAAAGGATTATCACAGGTTTTACATTATTAAGTGGACCGTGTTGTGGAGCAGCGGTGCAATAAGCCAGCAACATCACTTTAAACAATAAAGTGCAGTTTATGGCAGATTATTTTCTACAGTACAAAACTGATACAGAAAACACATTGGAAAGATCACAGTGTTTTTGATATTATAACAGCAGCTAAAAAATAGTAAGGTGCATCACTAAGTTTCTAAGTCAGTCTTGCTTCGGAAGAGATGGCATTACACCAGGCAGTGGACTGTAAGCAACCCCCCCCCTCCGTGAAGCTGAAGCAAATTCAACTGACAATTGTCGTCCCGCTCCAGGAACAATAGATAACAAAAGCTAAAATCTGATGAGCATTTATAAGTTGACCTTTCCGAATTATCACTTGTCATTTTATCAGTCAGATGAACATATACATTTACAACTTAGTTTCTCTACCCTACATTTAAATGGATTTTCATTAAAAATCAATGTCAGATATTGCATCATACTTCCTCACTAAGACCAAAATACCCACTGTGATTTTTTTAAAAAAATATGTGTACTCAGTAATAGACTTATAGAAAGTGATGTTTGGGTATAATAATATGTAATAGGCCAGAATACTTGATAATTTTGTTTTATTATAAAATATCATAGTATAACATTTTGTAATATAGTAAAATGATTAGCAAAATGTTCTGCACTAAGATTAGAACTGCTCCTGATATATCTTTCAAACCCCTCAAAGTACCCCTACAGACATATAAGAATTAGCAAGAAGTCAAAGAACTTGATTTTGGCAAAAAGGCATTTTTACAAAGCCTCTCAATTGGTGTGCAAGTATTTCAAAATTCTTGTCATATACAACAGATAACTGGTGTTGAATTTAATGTTAATAAAAATTAAAAGAATTTTAAAGTACTAATAACTAATTCCTATCATTTGGTTTATTTTTTATAATTTTGCTTTATTCGTAATTGGTGGAGAAATACAGCAAAGAGCGCAACTTTATTAATAATACTAATTTATCGAGCACATCTTTAAACTTCAATAGTACATTAAATTGTGGCGCTCCTTTACTGTTAGGTGCAATTAGGAGTAAGTTGTTATACTATATTGACAATTTCCTATTTGGGGTATTGCCTCAAAAGATTATGGAATTGCACTGGTTTGCTGCTTATGAAATGTACCATCAGGAAGATTAACTTTGTTTTAACCCAATGATGATACAAACATATTTTTTTAAATATTGCAAATTGTGCAAAAATGAAAACCCTTTTGGTGAAGTAGATTCTATTCACTCTAGTATGTGATGTTTGACCAGTCCCTAGTTATTTATGGCTTCTCAACATGGTTCACTGATTTCTACAAAATCCATTTTAAAAATTCTGTTAGTTTGGTGCCACTACATCCAAGAGACTGGAGTGGCCTATACCAGATCCTGAGACCAAACTATTATTCTTACAGTGTTCCATTCTTACTGCTGGGACATCTCTATAATACAAATAATACTGCATTTTCAAGAGCAAAAGGAGTTTACCGCTGCTACAGTCTTCAGAAGACACCTCTAATATTAAAAGCCCTAAAAGATACAAGACTGATTATTTGACGCAATATGCTTATTTGAATATATCTATATATAAGTATTACCACATTCAACTTGAATCAAATTTAATGACACAATTTATTTTACTGGTAATTGCCACTTACACACAGACATCCCACTAAAATATGCTGTAATAAGGTCATTTGCTAAAGACAGTAGACAAGTATAGATTTTATGCCTTTTTTATACTGATTGCTAAGTCACAGCTATTTCACACACAATACAAGATTATACACTGAGGAACACATCACACAAAATATATGAAGAAAATTTCAGTAGAACTGCATTATTCTATATGAAGGAATTCTGTTTACACATACACACAGGTGTTTTACCCATCTCCATTCTTTTGGAGTGCTCATTGAAAGCATAACACAAGGGATCGTATTGGGGTACTTCAGGAAGACCTTTAAGACATAAATCTTCAGCTACTTTCAATTTAGTAAGTGAATATTCCATAACAAAAGTGGTATCTTGCCTTTCAGGTGATTCTGAGTACAAAGATAAGTCTGCTTCATGTGTCATACAATTCGCTGGCCCTCCTTCCACCCCAATGCAGAACAAAAACACAGATTTGGTTTTCCATTTAAGTAACTTTTCAAAGTTGATTCAGAATGGGTGAATAACAGGTACCCCCAAAGGAAATGAAGACGCAGAGAATCCTGAAGATGAGAGACTTTGTCATTTGTGAAGGGAACTAGATGGAAAGGACAAGGTTCAATATTTAAAGATAAAAATGAATATTCTTTTAAATCTTAACAGCATCACCCATTAGGTCCCAATTTATTAACACTTTCAATTTATAAAATAAGGGGAGAGACTTTGTTCGTGTAGGAACTACTTTGGTTTTTGTCTTTTATGACATAATAAAAGACATAAAAACAATATGGCCAGTCCTGTTTATGGATTAGAAATAAGATACATGTGGCCACTACCTTATTCTCATTGCACAGGCACTCTTGTGGCAGCTTGCCCTGTACTTGTGATCTGACTACAGAATAGTCCTAATTCTGGTTGCAACTGACCTCGAGGTCAGCCCTTCTGTCTAAAGTAGAATCAAGTCTTGTTGAGCCCCATGCTCTTAGCTAAGGACAGATGTGGACAAAGATACAGAGGAAGCCTGCCTTCGTAGGAGAAGAGAGGTCATGTGTGTGATTAAACAGACATAGGGGGTAAAAAATCCATTATCAGAATGAGATGTTTAGAGACACGTGATGACACATGCTGACTTGAAGGTGAATTAGGATTAAAGAGATTTCAGTAAGCAAAAACAAAAAGGCCCAGTGGTAAGGCTATACTTGTTTAGTCTCATTAAATGCACATGTACAAATTATCTTCAGATATCACGCTTTGGTAAGCAACCCCCAAGCCTGATCCTGTCTTCTAGCTTGCCTTTCTCTAGCCAAATTTATGCTAAGATCACATGACCTTGGTAAATTTGAGGGTTAGTCATCCCAGCTATTAATTTGAGACATAATAATTTAAAGGAGGCTTCACAAGCAGCATAATTCTATTCCTACAGGTAACACACTTCTGATGACCAAATTAAAAAAAATGCAGATCAAAATCAGTGTTAAATTATGCTATTTCCCAATTCATTTTTTGCTATATAGTTATGGCCTGGATGTTCCTTTTCTTCAGTTATTGGCAACAGAATCCTTTATTTTCAGTCAGCAAAATAAATATTTGTGTTAAAGAGAGCGTCTAGACTATACCACCCATTCCTCTGGAGGAAATTCTTTCAAGTCAGAACCTTCTGAGGCACAAACACCACAGTCAGAATTGGTAGTGGAATATAAAATATATAGTTACCCTTCTAGTGTTCTGGGCCCCAAACACTGCATCTTCATGTGAAATGTGTTTGTTTAGTTTTTAAATATAAACTGAGCATAATTTTATGTGCACATAGTAGGAACCTAAAACATAGAAGCCTTTTTAAATAATAAAGAACCCATATTGACAAATAACTCCTATGACAACTGTATGAATTAGGCAAGGTACCTAACTATATAAAATACCCCCCAAAAAGTGTCAGAACAAGGATTTAGGATTTCTAACATGGTTCTCTTGACATTACTACTTCCTTTTAATTGTGTCTTTTCTTTGATGATTTGTTCTTAACACTGGGACTACGGCCTAGGGCAGCATGCATGCTAGAAAGGTGTTCTACTATAGAATTACATCCTCAGCCTGTGTATACTTTCTTAGCCTGGTTATATATCCCAAACTCATATTTTTTGCATTGAAATTACTGAGATATACTCTCTACAGAAACCAAAACACGGGGAGGAGGCGGAAATTTTTTCAATAAAAAAAAAGAAAGAAACCAAAACAATTTGCATAACACTTTGATTAAAATCTCAAAGAAAACTAAAGAAGTAAAAAGAAGAGATGGGATTTACTAGAGAGCAAGTAAGCTGTTCTATGTAATGAATTGTCATAATTGAATACTATTATCTTAACAACATGGTCAATTGCCTGGAAAAAAGTCAGTGGGAAATATACACTGTCAAGCTTCTGTTCTCTTCAAATACCAGGTTACAAACTGAAAAGATGTAATGTGGCAATGAGATAGGGTAAATTAAATATAGACAGTTAAGGGTAGAAAGAAAGGCAAGTAACTGTGTTAATGCCACAAAGCTACAGTGTTTTACAATATATTGCTATTGAAGTATAATGCGTCTCCTTCCTTATTGTTAAGGCTCTTTCAAAGTATCCTCAAACATCTCCACTCAGCATTCAGGACTGATTTTGTCCCATATAGTAAATAGCATGATAGCATGAACAGTAAGAGCTGAAGGGATGGCTTGGCGGTTGAGAGCATGGAGCCCCACCCCACTTTCTGGGAACCCAAGTTGGATTTCCCTTCCCAGAATTCACATCGGGTGGCTCAGAGCCGTCCATAACTGTAGTTCCAGCACTATTATGCACATATCCACACATGTACTTGTAATTAAAAATAATAAAACTGCCACAGTAGCCTTCATGCTTTAACATTAAGAATGTTACTACACATGAAATTGATTATGAAATAAATGACATGACTTAATTTCCTGCTGAAAATATGTGTCTTTCATCCCTTTCTTGGGAAAGTAATATAGAAGAGGACTCTCTAACTAGCGGTGCTTGTCTTTCAGGAAAATGGAAATGATAGGCTTAACAGCCAAAAAAAAAGTGTAGCCTTGTTTCAAATTTACTGAGATGGTACTTCAGAAAGACCACACCCAAACATGACCCCTTTTTAGACATGATATACAAAAATAGCAAGCTTTTCACAATGATCAGCACAAAGTTACGGTCACTCTATTGTATCTTTAAAAGATAGGTTCAGTTTTTCTAAAGCTCCTGGAAACATAACAGATACAACAAAGCTATGTGTCATTTCCTAGTCCTTTGGTTTTCTGGTCCACATAATGAATGATGGAAGAGGTGGGCAGATTTTTAAAGGAGGTTCCTTTGAGAGAGGGGCGGATTTGTCTACTGCAATGTTGGCATATTTCTAATCTAGAATACTGAATAAATGAACCTGAAAGGAGAAACCAGACTTCGAATCCTTGTTTTGTTCCCTCCTAGCTCTGTCTTTGGGGGGACCACCTAACACACATTGAGGGGCTGCTCAGACACAATGAAAGCATGTATTCCTTTATTGTAAAAGGCCTAATTCTGCCTGGTTATCATTAGCCTGTAGGGCCCATGCCAAAGGCATTTTAAATGAGATGTTGTAGGAGCTGTCACTGGTCCTTTCAGAAGGAGAACATTCTGTAAACAGAATCTTCCTTAGGGCTTCCAAAAGGTGCTTGCCCTCCTCAAGAAAGAACTTCTGGAATCGAATTAAGTTTTACTCCAAACAGTATTTTCACAGATGGGCAATTAAAGCCAATTTTATATGTTGAAATATGAGGGTGTGAAATGGGACCATAAGCCAACAAGGTACATATTTTGCAAAATTCATTTTGTCCCAGCTTGTGTTAACGATTGTAAACATGCAAAGAGTCATAAAATATAAAAAGACAAGTTCTTTTCTTTGGTAAGATTCTTTGAGAATCTTATGAATACAAGAGATCCTCTTTTTCAAAATAGGATCACACATATAACATTCATACAAACCCATACAAATCCATTGGTTCATACAGCTCCACAAGCCAGCACACACAGAAATATTTCTAGGCAGTAACTCCTCCCAAAGTCTATCTACAGTTCAAATAGTGCTTCAAATTATATGGTATTAAATGTATCATGTACACATATGTACCTATGTATATCCAAATAGCTAATGACTATTGAAACAATGACATCTTATACAGCATAACAGTTTTCTTTAATATGATGTTTGAACTTCAGTGGTTAAATACCGGGACTGTGGTAAACTCATATTCTCTGTATGGAAGTGACAGTTGCTTCTATTAGTGTTTAGCAATCCACTATTGGCTTGAAGTATTTTTATAACCTTTGTTATTAGCAAAAGTAAACTTAATATGATAACTAAAATCAACTGGTATGATAGTAAAGCTCTAGCATGTCCTTTGTTTTGCAAGGTAAGGTGACCAGCCAGGGAGTCCATTCCGCTCTTAATCTAATAGGATAAAATAGAATAACATTCATTCGATAACCACTTCTATTTTCCTCATTCCATGTCTTTCATGGTATTCTATGAAATATGAAAATGACTTACCTTTGTGGTAGTTACCCTGATCTTTGAGATGAGTGATTTTCACCGAGAGCATATTTTACAGTCTAATAGCTTCATAGAGATTACAAAGATGAAGGCATTTGAAGAATTACTAACATATACAATATACAGGTCACACTTCAAGTTGAGACAAACACATGACAACAACACTTATTTGCTAGATAAGAATTTCCCTGTCTTCTTTTTTGTTTGTTTATGGTACTAGGCATGGAACTAGGGCCTTGTGCAAGCTAAAAAAGCCACACCCCTAAGCTACTAAGCTTAGGCTGCCACTAAAATTACACTCCTTCCTGCCCGGAATCTCACTATACTGAGCTCTAGGAAAGAAAACAAAACTAGGGAAAGAGATATTCTAAGACCCAAGGAAGCTTGAAATTTCAGTGTTTAAAATAAGTTATGATATGATGTTTTTAAAGTGCCCATGATAGTGATTTAAAAAATACCCACATGCATATTCAAATATCTCCACTCAAAAAAAAATCATGAACTTCAGCAAGCAAAGGCCTAGGACAATCAAGGGTTTCATTTCATGTCCTTCACCATGACACTTGATCCCTGCTAACAGTTTTTAAGAGGGCAAAATTATTTTACATATTTTAGATTATTAAGATTGTCTTCACTTCTAAATTTAAGGGTGGAGGGTATAGACAGATGGTCAAATTTGCTCTCCAGTTTTCAAAGGGTTGCCAGTCTATCCCCATCATCTCCAGTTCACTTTTGCCTTCAGTGTCATGAACTGGAAAACATTATTTTCCTTTTGCTTTCTCTCGATCTTCGGTTTTACATCTCTCCCCTGAAACATCAAATCTGTGATTTTTAGATGAGTTGTGGCATCTTTGCTTGGCAGGCTCTCTCTCCAGTCTGGTATCACGCTGCTTCATCAGGCTGAGCTCATCCTTCTGGCAGCAATGTGAAGGCTCATAGTTGTGATGCCATTGGATGTGGATTATGTGGGAAACTGCCTAGAGGAGGCCCAGGAAATCTCAGGGGACTTCTGCCAGGATGCAATGGGAGATGGAGCCTTTAAACAAAGACGCTGAAGAGAGGGAATTCAGCCTGATTGGGCTGTAGCAAATCAATGAGAAAGCAAACCGTGCCAGAGAAGCCTTCATACAAGCTATATATGCTTTCAAGGACCCGTGAACCAGCTTTGAATTCTTCAGTGAACAAGAATTGTGCAAACCTAAGAGAAGAAGAAAGCACGAACAGATTTAATATGACTGTGTCCATGTGACCTGCTACAGGATGCTCTTCTTCTTTTATGAAGTTAAAGTTTTAGTGTCAGGTTGTTTTCAGAATTATGTAATTAATTTGAGAAAACTCCATTCTCTAGAGAAAAAAAAAGATCAGTTATATAAGTCTTTGTGTTTTGCAACAGAGTTTGTTGCCAAACAAATCCAACTATTTTTAGGAGCTGCTAATCAAAGCACATTGGAATTTTCTGAGATTCTATTCCTTCCACTGTCCAATAATTATAAGTGAAAAAGTCACATAAATCATCCTACTTTTGTTTATCTTGAACCAAAGCAAACTTATATATCACTGTTCCTTTTTTAAAAATCTAAATATTTGTGTTTCTGGAAGCATATTATTTCTGAACTCGGTCTCATTTATATGTGACAGAGCACAGAGGCTGAAAATAAATGTGAGGGTTTTACACAATCTGCTTTGGGCAACAAAGGATGAAGATGAATGGGAGAATGCAAGCAACTTTTCATAATGGTGCCATCAAATAGTAAATTCAACTATGAGGCATTGCTCTTAAGACAATTTGCCTTTAAAATAAGTCACTGATCTCTAAAATTTTGGTGAAAAACATTTTTCTTTGACTTTCATTTTCTTATTTAAATTAACTAAACAACATTGTATAGTAGTCTCCAGCCTTTCCAATGCTCTCACCAATATCATGGTTTTTAACTATCTTATTCCTTTGTCATCATCAACAAAAATATTCTCCAATTCTGATGCTGGTGAGGCCTGAGAGTTTGTACTGTCATAAAGTTAGATTATTACAGCCACCACAGGAGTCCTATCAAGAGTAATTACTCATTAGGTCTTTTGTGGGCCATTGAAACTATTGCAGGCAGCTTAAAATAAATGAGGAAATAAATTGCAATTCCACTTGTTACTGATTTTCTATCAACTGTTTTCTTAAATATGCAGTCATTTAAATAAGAGTTTGCACTTCTAAACAGCAAAGAATTATTAATATTAAGAATTGAAGAAAGTGTGGAATATCTACACATTAGAGTACTACACTGCAGTAAAAAACAATGACTTCTCGAATTTTGCATGCAAATGGATGGAAATAGAAAACACTATTCTGAGTGAGGTAACCCAGACCCAAAAAGATGAATATGGGATGTACTCACTCATAATTGGTTTCTAGCCATAAATAAGGGTCACGGAATCTACAATTGGTGATCCTAAAGAAGCTAAGTAAGAAGTTGAACCAAAGGAAAAACATATAGTTATCCTCTTGGCTATGGGAAGTAGACAAAATTGCGGGGGAGAAAATTGGGATCTTGGGGGTGGGGTGGGATGGGGGTAAGGGGAGATGGGGAGAGAAAAGTGACAAGGGGAGGATGGGGGGAACTTGGGGAAAAAGGAAGATTGGGATAAAGGAAGGTAGGATAGGGGAGCACGGAAGCACAATTCTTAGTTAAGGGAGCCACCTTAGGGTTGGCAAGAGACTTGAACCTAGAGTGGCTCCCAGGAGCCCAAGCCGAGGTCCCCAGTTAGTTCCTTGGGCAGCTGAGGATAGGGAACCGGAAATGACCCTAGCCTCTAGCAATACTGACGAATATCTTGCATATCATCATAGAACCTTCATCTGGTGATGGATGGAGATAGAGACAGAGACCCACACTGGAGCACTGGACTGAGCTCCCAAAGTCCCAATGAGGAGCAGAAGGAGGGAGAACATGAGCAAAGAAGTCAGGACCACGAGGGGTGCACAGTGGAGCTGATCTACTGGGAGCTCACCAAGGCCAGCTGGACTGTGACTGAAAAAGCATGGGTTAAAACTGGACTCTCTGAACATGGCGAACAATGAGGGCTGATGAGAAGCCAAGGACAATGGCACGGGGTTTTGATCCTATGCAATGTGCTGGCTTTGTGGGAGCCTAGCCAGTTTGGATGTTCACTTTCCTAGATATGGACAGAGGGGGGAGGACCTAGGACTTACCACAGGGCAGGGAATCCTGACTGCTCTTTGGACTGGAGAAGGAGGGGGAGAGGAGTGGGAGGAGGGGAAGAAGGATGGGAGGAGGGAGAGAAGGGTGGGAGGAGGGGGAGGGAAATGCGAGGCTGGGAGGAGGTGGAAACTTGTTTTTTTTTTCTTCCTTTTCTCAATAATAAAAAAAAATGAAAAAAAAAGAATTAACTCAATATGTATAATTACATATAAATAAGTTTATAAATTATTATTTAGAAGTAATAATTTATAAATGATGAGGTTTTCTTAGCTCAGTGTTTTTTATAGAACCATTAGGCTTTTATATGTACTGTACCCAATATTGTCCATTCTTTTTAGTTCTGTAATTACCATTCAGGCTCCCATTTTAGCTGAGAATTATTGAGAAAAATGGTTAATTTGATTTGGGGAACAGTGAGTACATTTTTGACACAACAGTTTTCATTTTACTACTGATACCATTTTCAGAAATGAGTAATGTATATATATGCAAAGATAAAACTTAGAAATGATAAAACTCAAATTTAGTAATAACAAAAGTTAATCTTTACATAGAAGTTATATATTCCAGGCATTATTTAAAATGATTTTCTTGTATTTATTTGCAAATTTTTTATAATAAAGTTTTAAAAACTTAAAAAATAAAATAATTTTCATGTGTTAACTTATTTAAACCAGCCAACACATCTGAGAAATGGGCACTATTTCACATAACCAATATGATTCTGGGTATATCCTTTCAAAAGGATTCTCACAACTATGAGGGACCACTCTTTGGCCTCGACTAAATGACAACTCAGATACAAGAGAATCAAATCATATGGGGGGTGTGGCTGAAAAGCCTCCTAACTTATCAGACATAAGTGCCACCCAGAACACCAAGACCTCTTCTGAGGACCTACACAGACAGCTTGCACATGCCTTCAAAGGGACTGCTCAGTTTCCTACCAGTTTATTTATAGTCTATTCATAGTCTTTCTGACACAGCATATACAGTTAATCAGTATGGAGTTATTTCTATTCAAAACAATGCTGTCTGCTCTACATCTGGTTTCCATATGTATCAACGCTTCAGGGAATAAACTACAGAGACTAATTTAGGAATTTACTTGCTAACAAAACAAAGGTAATATCCACTACAGAAGCAAGAGAAGAAACAAGAGACATGGTAACTATTAATAGAAATTAGGAATTAGAAATTATTTCCCTTCAGTTGCAAGGTCTGGAGGTTCACAGTGTAAGAAATTAGTAACCCATGATGACTCTGCCTCCTGCATAGGCAACTTCCCTCCTACACAGAAGGCAGGAAAGAATAATCTATTCATACAGGGTAAAAGGCAGCACTGTTTATAATGAAATTATTGGAAACTGGAGTCAAATATTCTTGTTTTAGTAAGACTAACAAAAATGTTAGACAAGGCCCTTTATGTATTCATATAGCATAATCACCAAGATAACAAGGCACTATCATTTGTATAAGAAAAACAAAATTTGATATATATTCCCATATTTGCAGACAACAACTTGGGAAGACACACCAGACAATATCTCCAGGGAAGTCAATTAAATGGCTGGGGGGGGGGATGATCGTTATGCTATGCTCCTTTTTATTACACATTTGAAACCAGGGGACTATATTACCTGCTTAGAAAATCAATTAGATTAAGATTTCAAAAATTAGAACTCAGAATGTAGTAGACAAATACTAGCACATAAGAAGCTCTGGTTTTAATCCTTAGCACCTCATAAAATGGTGTGGTAGTGTACATCTGTAAGTTTAGAACCTGCAAAACTAAAGAGTCAGGAATTCAAGGTCGTTGATCACTATATAGGGAATTTAAGACCAGCCTAAGACACAAAAGATCTTGTCTCAAGGGCAAAAGGGATTTGTAAGAATATGTGCATGAAAACAGCTGACCTTTGAGCACGGTAGATGTATTTGGAGTTTCCTGTAAGACGGTATAGCAGAAGGAAGACATAGGCACTGCCGGCTACACCATGGCAAATCCCTGGCCCCTTCTTCAGTAGGCCTTTCTGCCATGTTAGCTCCCCACAGCGTATGCATGTATCCAGGTACTGTGGTTTCTTGGAAACAAGATAAGCTTTGGCAAACAGATAAGCAATTCCTGTAAAAACATCAATGACAATAAGAGGTGACTTTCAGGACTTAATAACATACTTCTCAAAGGTGTACACCTCCTGAATCCCCATCCAGTGTCTTTTGTTTTTACATTCCTAGCTACATTTCCAAAGAGAAGACTTCTAAAGCACGGCAACTAATATGACCCATTATCCCATAGAAGTTCAGAATTTGCAATGTTTATATATTTATAACAATACCCGTTTGCTTAAGAGCAAAGAAGGAGCCTTTCCAGGAATAACAGTGCAATCAGACAACCTCAATAAGATGTCTACTCCAGCTTTGAGGTTAGCCCTTCCCATATTTCATGTTCCACGGAAATAAACATTCTTTCGAAACTTGCCAGTACAGAAGCAAGAGCAGAAACAAGAGACATGACAACTATTAATTGAAATTATTTTCCCCAAGTTGCAAGGTCGGCCAGTCCATAGTGAAATTAATAATCCAAGATGACTCCAGCTCCTACATAGCCTACTTTCCTCCTTGCCAGAAGGCAGGAAAGGGCTAAGAGACTAGCACAGTGGTAGAAGGCTTGTCTAGCGAGTGTGAGGCGCTGGGATTTGTGCCTAGCACCCTCCAAAATTATATTTTTAAAGTGGAAACAATGGCCTTGAATAGAATAAATGTCTTGATGGGCTCACCCACTAAAATTTAGGTAGACACTGTGACTAAAATAAGGCATGGGCCCATGCTGCTGTCAGCAAAACTAGAGATCAGACAAGTGAAAACCATCCTGATGGAAACAGTCAGGGGAGGCCTTGGATGGAAGCTGGCGTTTTCTGGGGTTTGTAGGCTACATAAGAAACGCCAGGCCCAAGACGAGGCAGGGAAAACATATTAGGCACCAAAGATCACAGAGGCTAAGAGGTTCAAGACATCTAAGTTTAAACCACAAGTCAGGGTGGCAGCATCCTAACCAAGGGACCAGGACGGTAAAAGAGTAAGAATGAGTTCAGATTCTGGATGGTATGATAGTTTTGTTAGGCATTTTAGACTGTATACTGTGGGTGATAGGGAACTACTAGAAGTCTTTTATTATGAACTGGTTGGTTTTGATTTTTGAATAACAATGTGATTGTTCGTACATAGTATTATGAGGAAACACCTAAAGAAAGACAGAAGAGCTCCGAGCTAGCTTTGTTAGCGGAAAAATGGAGATGAAATTTGCCGAAGAATAATTTCATAGGACATAGTGACTGTTTAGACCAACTGAGCATGAACTATATGGCAGAGGCTGATTTTAAAAGGCCTCTGTCTGAACCTAGACAAAGAGGACCCTAAGAGAGACATATGTGGATCTAATCTACATGCGAAGTAGAAAAAGACAAGATCTCCTGAGTAAATTGGGAGCATGCAGACCATGGGAGAGGGTAAAAGGAGAGGGGAGTGGCAGGGAGGGGAGCAGAGAAAATGTACAGCTCAATGAAAATCAATAAAAAAAGGCCTCTGTCTTTAATGGATTTTATAGCTTAATCTGGAGGTGCAAACTAGGCTATGTAACAACAAATATAGTTATGGAAACACACAGGAAGAGTCCCTGCTGGTGGGAAAGGCCTACTAGACTATCATCTTATAATTGAGTTCTGGATGATGAGCAGTAATCAATGAGGTAACTGACTCAGCTTCCCTTTATCTTATCAGGAAACAGACCACGCCTGAATTCTTTTAACAGCTGGCTGCTAACACACGTCCTGGATTCCTGCCTTTAGAGATTGCCCCACAGGCAAACAGAAAATTGTATCAAATACTCAGCCCTCTGGAGCTATCATGGAATACAAAAGTCTACTACTCCCTTGCCTGAACACAGAACCAAACTTTCAGTGGATCTTGTGCCTATTAACATCCCTCAGAATCAGACAGAATAAAGCCAGTCTCCATGAAAGCCATTTCTCTGGCTTTTATTAGCTTCTTTGTCCAACAACCCTTGGCCTAGTAGGTTCCCTTGAGAGTACAGCCTGCTTCCAGACACACAGAAAAGAGTGTGTTAGGTGGAAAGTGGTTGAGCCAAGGAAAAGCCAAAGGGTTCCCTATTATACGGGCACCATAGCATGATACAGAAAGCCCTTCATGAACAACATCCTGTTCTGTCCGCTAGCTGCTTCTTCATTCCTGGACTGAAGTTTCTGACTTTCATAAAACCAGACTACCTACAGTGCTCCAATGCTACTGAGTGCCTGTTATTCTTGGAAGAAGCCTCCTGTATTTCCTGGCACAACTCAACTCAGAAATCACTTTCTTTAGGAAGCCTTCACTGAATCTGGAGGCAGCATGAGAAATCTCTCTTCTTGGATCCTATCTCACACTATATATAATGTAGCACTTATACATAACCAAATTTAAACTATCTGTTTCCATGTCTGCCTCCCCTGCTCTAAGGCAAACCACTAAAGGGCAGGAATTTTTATCATATTCCTTTTCTTTTCTCCTCATCTGGTGTGGTGCTTTGCTACCAAATAGTTCCACAAATGTCTGTTGATCCTGCAATACCTCATTTAGCACCCTTGCACAGTGGTTCTCAAACTGTGAGCCTCAAACCCTTTCACAGGGATTTCATATCAGATACCCTGCATATCAGATATTTGGATTACCCCTCATAACCATTTCAAAATGACAGTTATGAAGTAGCAATGAGAATAAGTTTATGGTTGGGATCACCACAATGTGCGCAATTGTATCAAAGGGTTGTAGTTTTAGGAGAGGTCACCACAACGTGCGAAACTGTATCAAAGGGTTGTAGCATTAGAAAGGTTGAGCACCACTGATTTAGTGGAAGCTGGCACTAGAAGCAGAGCAGAGATGTATAAAAGAAGATAGACTGAGATGATTTCAATTGCTATATCAAGCATTAGCCCCAGATAGTAAAAAAAAAAAAAAAAAAAAAAGCTATGGATCCTAGGGCTCTGGACAGAGTAGGGCCTTGAACATATTCTAAATTTGTTAGCACCTACTCTGACCTAATGGAAACCATCCTAACGCTTCTGATTCTTAAAGGAAAGGATGTCATGTTTCTTTGACTGTGATGGGAATTAGCACAGCTCTTTCCTACGACCACTAATTAGTCTTCAATGATATAAAACAGAAGTCAGTGATGGTAGATGACTTTGCCAAATACAACCAGGAAATTAAATCACAACTTAATAAAGATGGTTTGGGGAGACGAAATCTTTGAAATGTGGGGTCTTCAGAGACTTGTGACAGATAGAATACACTACTTCAACATACTGGAGCATCACCACCCAGGTTCATGCTAGGATGTGTAATTTTGTTGAGTCATTACAAACTTAACTACCAATCTGTGCTCCAGGAGCATTGCTCTTTATTCAAAGTCACCTACCCAAGAGCCTTAGTGGAATGAAATTTCAAAACTGCTCACACCTGTGTTTCACACAGAATAAAGGAAGTGCACTGTCAGTGTTATCAAAGTAATGCTGTAACCTGATGCAGCCAGGAAGGTTATTTTAGCCACAGCATTTGTTTTAATGATTCTGCAAATGACTTCCATCCTGTATTTCAGAGTTATCAAGGTTATGAAAGGATCACATGAGTCTTCCTGCAATACTTTATTGTATTTAAGAACACAAAGCTACATGTCACTGTAGGTATTTATAAAAGCATCTGAGATACTTCCCTTAGGAATGGCAAAGGTCCAGATGTGAAGATGTGTCAATGATGACAAAAATACTGAGATTCACTACTCCACTTCAGCATACTCATTTCAGATTTTTTTTTTAAAAAAAAGAGATTTTTTTTCAAGGTCACTTGTTAGAGTTACAATTAGACCCCAGGGTTGCTCATCTATAGTCAAGAACTAGTTATGTATTTCATACCTAATATCTAGGGTAGTCACTTGTAGAGGTGAGCTGAAAGAAAGCCCATAGGAAGCTAAGGTGTGAATAAGGTAGCATTAATGAAGTTCCACACTATAGATTATCTCTGGCAGATTTTTAATCATAGGAATGGTCTGTCATCCCAAACCATCTGTGCTGTTCACAAATCTGTTCTCAAAATTTTTCTCAAATAAATAAAATTATTTTTTTCTAGGCCATTTCCTGTTGAATTTGGAGAGAAATTTCTTGTAGTCAGCTTCAGTGAGATCTTGACTGTCTCTGACTTGCAATGACCAGTTTTATAATCACTATTAGGTGAGGGCTGAGGTAAGCAGAAATAACGACCTTATTTAATTAGCTAATCGGTTTCTTTTTCATACTCTGGTGACTACATGGACTTAGTTTTGATTTGAAGCAATATATTTATGTTACTCTTCTTAAAACACTTAGAGTGAATGTTACAGGAGGGTAAATAAAGTCTCCAATGTCATGAATCCTATCCATGACCTGCTGAAACAAATGGCATTTGGTATTCAGAAAGGGTACAATAACAGTCATTTAAACACCTACTTCAACAGGCTCACCCACTCATTTTAGTAGATTTCTTTCTACTCTATTAAGGGCTTTTACTAGCATACTGAGTCCTTTTAAAATAGTCTATATTTAATTTGGGACATCTCCAGAATTTAGGAATCCTGGGATGCTTGGAGAATATCCAGAGACCACCGCTGAGAATGATTAAGGGGAAGGAGAAATAGAAGTATTGAGTATAACAAGAAACATGATTTCCAGAATGGGAAATAACTGCTGTGTTTTTTCTCCCCAAAAAGGTCAAAGCAAGAAGTAATGGGCACAAATTATACCTGACAGCAACTAGGCCGAACATAATGTACTATGTCTTGGTACTTTTAAAATACACAATTTGCCATTCCTTCCATAGTTAAATGTGGCAGGCAAAGAAAATATGACAGTAGACAGTGACATATTATTCAAACTGTATCAAGGATAAAACAGAACTCTAATTTGATTAGAGAACATTAATTACAGGAAGAAGGGAGGCAATAAAAATCAGGTAACAAGACAAAAATAAATCAAATGCAATTTAAAGTTGTGCTCTTCTGTTTGAAGCACAGCCTGGTAAACTAAATTCATTCATAATCAAAATATTTTGGAAGGGGAGATTATAAAAGCATTATATACACATGAAATTGTCAAAAATAAATTTAATAACTGTATTATTTGATAATTCCAGTCTCCTTGTCAATTAACCGAATTTATTTGTTTGAATTTAACTTCTTTTAAATTATTCCTTCTTCAAAAGGCTAGTTAGTTGTATAATGGGATTTGTAAAACGTGGGATAGAATAGTGAAGTTTTTCTGGGTTCAAGGCTCAATTTCAGAATTCATTGGGGGATGAGTTGTTATTTCATTAGACATTTTATTAATTATTACTGGAAATACTCAGTTGACCAAGAATTTCAAAGCCATGCATCTGAAACTTAAAGATTAACACAAGTTTCATAAGGATACTGGTCAAATATACGTTGTAATTCACTGGGTTGTGATAGATCCTAGGATTAGAGATTTACAAGCTGTGAGGCTCCTAGGCATGACAGAGGCCACCACGTAAGTGATCAGGCTGTGGATGTGCACTTTCCAATGTAGCTAAAAAGACTCTAAAATGCAGCATTTGATTATAATGTTACATAACTTTAAAATCAACAGGAAATTTTAAGGATTTCAATGTCTGAAAGAATGTACACTAACATTATTTTTAGTGCTCTGGATTGAACCCAGGTCCTCTGTGTTCCAGGCAAACATTCTACCAGCAGTGCCTTTAGTCCCTAGCCCAGTCATATCTATTTTTAAATTTGTATTCTACTAAAATAATATTTGGGTTACATATTATTAAAATTAATTCTACCCATTTCTTTTTTGCTTTTGAACATGTGGCTACTGATTCTTTTTGTGCATATATTCTGGGACTCAAACCCAGAACGCTGAACATACTCATCACTCGTTCTAGCACTCAAATACCTAATAGTTCAGACTACATATGTGACTCACATTACATTCTGAGGGAGTGCTTGTTTAACACTGTGGATAGAGAGCTGTGTTTTTTTCAACCTGTGGAATGATTTTCAGAAATCCTTTAAAGATCAAGATATTATTTTAGTTTTCAAAAATTTCAGCTTGATAGCTATGGCCCAGGATGAGAAATACCCTCGGATGTCAGAAAAATGAACCTCCCTCTGTGTAAGCTCAGTGAAAGGCAGCCCTGTTTCTGTTTTCAGACAACAGTGTATGCGAGACCTGGAGCACCGTGGCACCAGTGGACCAGTTCATTCTCTCTCTCAATCGTTTCTCCCAGCTCAGGTGGCCAGTTGCAATTCTGTTCCTGTTCCATGAGGAAATCCACACTCTGCCACACCAGCTCCCGATCTGAAGGCTTGAGATGCTCGTGGTAAGAAAGAAGCATTTGCAGAATGGATGACAGGCCATGAGCTGCCCCTGTGTGGACAAAGCAAGCATCATTTATCCATCAAGCGAGGTGAGGTAGTTTGATCTAGTGAAAAGAAAATTGTGAGATTTGTTTTACACTAAAATATTATTTAAAAGCACATATAGTACTATAACAATTGAGTTGCTAAAACCTAAACGAGCAGAAAAGTATAGCTTGCAGCCCAAATCTGACTCACTCATTACTTTTGTAAATAAAGTTTTATTAGAACATAGCCATTTGCACATTGTTCTCTGCTTCCTTCGCATCGTACAGCAGACTTGAATTTGTGACTGAAACCATATGGTCCACAAACCCTAACTAAAACTGTTAAGCTTTTTATAAAAAAAATTTGATCTTATAAAAATATTCCCAAAATGCTTAAGATCAATTTGGTCTTGATATCTTAATAATTCATCAATCTATTTAAAATATAAGTATTAAGCATCTACTATGCACCAGATGCTTTAGATCTTTAGATGCTAAAGATAGATGAGTAAACAAAAGAGGGAAAAAATCCCTTTCTCTTGGCATGAATTCATTGAAGTCTTCACAATGAATACTTGTGTTTTGGACGTTATCTCACCATGGAGACACAAAGATGAATATGAGTTTGCCTATACTCTTGAAGAGACCTCTCCTCATTCAGTTCAGAAAGTGAATCATATTTGAAAAAATTTTTAGAATATAAGTGAAGTACTCTATATAGTAGATTGCAGCAGGAGCATAAGTGAGTCTATGTGGCAACTGAACTGGGCAAGATGGTACCCAGAGATTTTGTTGAACATTATTTCTAGGTACGTCTTTTTGAGTGCTTGTAGAGACAATAATAAAAGTTGAACCTGGCATCGGGTAGTGGTGGTGCACACCTTTAATCCCAGCTCTCTGGAGGCAGAGGAAGGCAGATCTCAGTGAGTTCAAGACCAGCCTGGTCTACAAAAACAGTTCCAGGACAGCCAGGGCTGTGACACAGAGAAACCCTACCTTGAAAAAAAAAAGTTGAACCTATAAAAATGATTAAAGATTTCCCTTGCTAATGTTTGTAGTCCTCACCCACTCATCAAGGCCTGAATGGAACAAAAACACTAAAAAATAATTCTCCAGCTTAGGCATTTGCCTTCTCCCTGGGCCTTAGACTCAGCCTGAATCTTACAATATTGACCTTTTTAGGTCTGGATTTTTCAGCCTTATAATCCTTTAAGCCAGTTCCTTTATTAGTGCTTCATTATTTATACAAATAAACAATATTCATATAAATATTCACATATTATATAACATATACAGCTTAGAATATATATGATGCATATTGTTTAGTCTTACATTAAAACATATTGCATATTATATATGGTAATAATTATTAAAAGAAAGCTTGAGTTTTCAGGAAAGTATTTCCATATTTATCATAAATGTGGTATGTAGTATGTATATCAATGTCCAGAATGTCAATTTATCTTTAAAAAATACTGTTAATGAAAGAACTGTAAAAGACACTGCTCGTATGCTGGCAAACTTTCCACTCAGGTACATCTATTCTCTCCAAACTCTCTACCTTAAATAGTTCTTATTTAGCCTGAATTCTTCTCTGGCCACAGGAATATGCTCAACACATACAGAATTAACACCCCTGGAGCAGCCAACCAATACAGCAGGAAATGCATAGATACATATCTGAACTTCTCAGACTGGGTAAGACAATTATGAGGTATGTCCTATATGTCTTCTAAGAGTCTCCAGGGAAAATGAGTTTGAATATGAAATATTTGCCATACAGTAAATGCTTGTGCTCCAGTGAGTGGCGCTATTTTGGGATATTGTCGAACTGTTGGAATATGAAGCTTATCTAGAAGAAGCACATTGCTTAGTATATATCTTTGACAGTCTTCTTCCTTCCTTCTCCCTGATTTTCATCTAGCACAAGAGGAGTAACTGCTGCTATACGGTTCTGCTCCCATGATGTTCTTCCCTATTATGGGCCCAGAATGAGTTCAGTCACGTGACAATAGAATGTACCTTCTGAAATGTCCCCTCCTTTAAGTTGTTACAGCAGGCCTTTTGTCAAAGCAGTTCAAAAGTCTCACACAGAGACTGTGCTATCTAGAACTGCTCATTATATTGCAATGAAATTCTTCCTCTTCCTTGTCTCATTTCTCCACTCCCCTAGCAATGCTTTCTAGGATCACATTTCAAATAAGATTTTTATACTCAAATCCTGTTTCAAGGTCTGATCCTACAAAGACTTAGAAAAGAATGCAAGACTTCTTTGAAAAAGCTCACACTAATGTTGCTCATTAGCCATTCGGCCATTCATTCAGATAACCTCATTAAATGTAGCCTCGTGGCAAAGGTCCAAGGATCACAGAGCTAAATGAATTAATCCCTAGCCTGAATGTGCATAAAACCTGACAGGGCAGTTGAACAAGTGAGTCACAAATTATAATAAGTTACAGTGAGGACTCCCTCAACAGTGTGGGCGTGATACCATGATGTCACCCTATTTGCTTCAGGGGAAAATACCTGAAACATGTTAATGATTCTCAAGATAGGCTTCAACTACCTTTTTCCCTAAGACACAGAATGAGTCTCAGTATATCTCATAAGGTTTGCACAAAGTTGGGAAGTGTGAGTATTAGAAGCAGATGAGGGGTATCTGGGAAGTGAAACATTCTAGGTAAAAGGAACATAAACAATAATTAAAAGGTAAGAGGTCACTTTGTGACACAACACCACTTGTAAGTATGTCTTACAAGTCTTGCTCAGGAGTGTAAGGACTCAAACTGGGGTGGGGGGAACTCATCTTTTGTTTACATGAATCGGACCTCAAAATTAGTCACTGTAGATCAGTTGCCTGTTATGAATCTGCTATCATTAAAAACTTACTGAATTGATCTTATTCCCCTATTCAAAAACAGTACTTAGAATCAGTGTAATAATTGTTCATCATGTTTCAACAAAGTTAAGCCATGTATGATGATATATGCCCATAGTTCCAGTCCCTCAGGAAGCTAATGTAGGGTATTTGTTTGAATCCAATACTTCAAGGGCAGCTTAAGCAATGTATTGAGACTTCTATCTCAAATAAATAAGTGGTTGATAATAAGGTTTTCATCTTTAGTGAACATAAATATTAAAATATTTATATTACCGTCATTCACACTTTGAAAAGGTATTAAATTATATCTAAATTTTTGTTTTCAAATGCTTTAAAGTATTTCTTGCTCATGAATAATGACCGTCTACAGCAGTGGTTCTCAACCTTCCTAATGCTGTGATCCTTTAAGACAGTTCCTCATGTTGTGGTGACCCTCCCCCATAAAATTATTTTCATTGCCACATCATAATTGTAATTTTGCTACTGTTGTGAATCATATTATAAATATTTGGTATGCAGGACATTTGATATGTGACCTCTGTGAAAGTGTCAGTAGACCCCCAAAAGGGGTCATGACCTACAGGTTGAGAATCACTGTTCTATAGCAAAACTGAAAGAATTCGTTCTTTATTCAGTGTTACCAGTAGAGACTCTCCAGCCTATAGGCATGTGCCACTCACCCAAGTATTCAGTTCCATAGTAAGAATACATCAGGGGGAACGGCTTTCTCTTCTTCAGGGCGTACTGCTTCCCAGAGTCCAAAATTGCCTGGCATATTGATTTAATTTGTGCTGGGGTCAATACCTGAATAAAGAAAGATCAAAAAGTCAAAGTCGAAGCAGGACTTCTATCTCTGGCCCCTCAAACATTAAATCAGAGGGCTTAAAAAGGCTATCCTATATGTAAAATTTAGCCAAACTTCCTTCCTATTTTGCCACTTGTTCTCCTTCTTTTGATTCAAGTTTATCTACCCTCTTCAGAACATTTAAAATAGACACTTTAGCCGTGATAGGTTGTTACAAAATACAAAGACCACCATATACATGTTCTATCATTAATCCTTGTCATGGCGACAAGAATTTCCTCAGGAATGAACAAACGCTGATGCTAATGGATTGTGCTTAACAAAGCCACTACTCCTGCCACAGCATATGCTACATACAGGTCTGTCCCAGACATCAGACCTTTAATTGGAGGCATTTAGGCTGTGCATATAAAGCCATGTCTCTACATCAAGCCACTGAGTGACAAATTTAGAGCATCCACTTGCGTTCCCGGAATGAAAGCAACGTCCAGTTGTGCCAAGACAAAAATCACTTAATCACTAAAATGATTCCGAATTGAGAAAGGCTGAAATCCAAGGGCTTGTGGTCTTTCACATTTTCCTCAAACTGTGTATAATCAGTTTTAGGATTATGAAGGGAGAATCTGTCAAGCCTCCAAAGCACAAAGGAGCTTGTTAATATTCTCCTCTGGTTTGCACTATGCTCAGTGACCTGTCTCCCCTCAGGGGCCAACTGGATTCTTCCTTTGGTTTGTTTACTCTATTATCGAGCTTCCTGTTATGATGAAACACTTCCCCTCTTGCTGTCTTAGTTCTGTATCTCACTAGACTATCAGTCCCTTAAGAGCATCAGTCTGATTAAGTTTCATTAGTTTGAATCTCTGGTGCCTAACACAAAAATTGAGGTTGGGGGAAGAGGAAACTTTGATAACAGATGACTAAGTTTTAGAGGAAATATAAAAAACAGAAACTTCCTTCCTTTACCCCTACTCTTGCTTCCTTTTCTCTTCCCCTTCTTTTCACAATCATTTCTTAAGCGTGTATTCCATTTCAAATAAGCTTATTGTAGGTGCTGGCGCTAGGACAGTGAACATAATAGACTTTGACTTGCTCTGAGGACACCAAGCTTCCCAAAAAGGCAAACAGTAATAGAAAAGTACTGGTCAGGCTGACCTGGAAAAAGCTATCTACAGTCCAGCCTGATTGACTCTAGGAGCAAGAAAAACATCACTGAATCTAGGCCTCTCTCCTAAAGACCCATAGGGCTCACTTATCTATATCTGTCATTAGACCAACAAATTATTTTTTTAAATAAAACAATAATGATCTAAACCATAAATTCCCTGTTTTAATCAATATTAGGAAAATAAAGTACAATCCATTTTCTGGGTTCCTCAAATCTAGGACTTACTTAACAAGATGATTACTTAAAAAGAAGAATCCGTTACTAAGTATGGCACATATCCTGTAATCCAAGCACTTGGGAAGCTAAATCAGGAAAATCTCAAGTTCTAGGTTTGCCCAGCTTATATACTGATACCACATTTCAAAATGTATTCAAGAAAAAAGGAAACTATCTACTCATTAATTTACCAATTATTATTTATTGAGTTTCTATTCTAGTAAGGCCCTCACTTGATCTCATAGGGAGATTCTTGAAAGTATGGGCTACGTTCTGCCCTATAGGGAATTTACTATCTGCTGATGGAGATGAGAGACAACAGTTTGTTGGATTCATGAACCTAGAGATGGAAAGAAACGTGGACGATGAAGTGCTGCTCAGCTTCCCTAAGATTTTACTCTATCCTCAGTTCCACTTGCTCAGAAACATTTACATCATGACTTTTAATTTCAATTTTCCTTTTACTCTCTACCTATCTTTGTCTCTTGAGTTTATCTCTCTTTTCTTTCTACCCATGAAATCCCCATCTTCCTATGTACCGCCAGTGTCACATCCACCCAAACTCGGGTCTTTCCTTAGCCTAATGGCATATTTTTCCTAAATGATTTTTTGACTCAACTATGTAAGTTGTTGGCCCCCAAATTTACCTGCCATATGAAAACACTCTTTTCTTTAGTAAGAGCAACTGATTTTATACTGAATCTTACTGTTTAAAGTCTTACATCATTAATCTCAAATCAGCTCCTCCATCTTGGCTCTCTTTCAGAAAATTGCTAAGATCCTTGGAGGGTTTGGATCTAATACAATTCTAATCTGATTCCATTCACCTTTTATTTTCCTAGGAATATATCTTGCTCCTTGGCTATCCACAGGTCTTATCTGTCCTATATTGATTCTGAGTTCACGTGACAGACAATTTCTCTGGCAGAAAATTGTCACCAAATTACTAAATTACTACAGTTTTTCTATTTGTTTTTCATATTCAGAACTGAAAACTGACTCTTTCCTCGGCTGCACATGTACTCTTATTCTCCTATTTATTTTGAAGCCAAAAAACAAAAAAAATCAGCTTGTTCTGTGTATGGTACCCTCCCCCATTCTTTTCATCCTACCATTCAAAATAGGGAATGAATTCATAAAATAGTCTCTCAAAAACCTTGCCTGGTCATGCATCATGTCTGGGCGGTCTCTTCTTATCTCACAGAAACACCGTGAAAAACAAAGCGAACACCGGTGCTTGTTCAGCTGGATAGAGAGTAGTTATGCCCGCAGTTCTTTATCTCTGAGAACAGACAAGACCTACCCTTGAGTTTATTGATCAGCAAATAAATACTGAAAATACTTCTCCCTAAAAGTCTGTGTGTGGGAAGAAAGACTGAGAAAGAAAATACCCCTCCCCCTCCAACAAACAACACAGAAGCAAAGTATTGGGGCATGAGTCTTAGGGGTAAGAGTTGAGTTTGGGTCCCTTTCCTGTCTGCTTTCTCAAACATCTCATTTCCTGCTCCATCACTCAGGAAGGCGAATTGAGCACGTGCACTCCCTCTGAGGATATGGCCCCTGGGTACACTCAGATAGCGGGGAATGAGAAAGCAGCCTTTCCAGGTGGAAGGGACAGAAAGCTACAGAGGAGCTCCCTATCCACCGATCAAATTGTTCCTATAAGAAGCCTGATGCCTTCTCCTGTATTCTTAACCCTGAAGGCCTAATGCTTTGTTGATACTTTGGATTAATTGGTGTTTTTTTTTTCAACCTCCTTGGCTTAGGCTGAATTAAAATAAAGATATCTCAAAAATGCTGAAGCAGGTCTATGGTGGTTTGCTTTAAACAGTTTCATTAGTTAACTGATTCCCTTCACTGACCATGTAACATAGTCTTATTAGGCTGGCCTCTAGTATGAAGAGATGAAAAAGCAATTAAACAAATGGTATGTTTCTTGCTCCTGCCTGAAGGCTGTGACTGAACCACATCCATACAGAGATGACCTTCATTAAGGAAATGAATAAAATGGAGTAGGCTGCAAGATGCTTGCCCCACACCACAGACTCTGTACTGGCACACAGCCCCTACGAAAGAGCAATCTTTGCTAGCTGTATTTCTTTGTCTGGGCATCAAATACCATTTGCCCTTCCCCTATTGGCAGTAATTGGATTTTCAGATAGTAGCAGTGAAATCCAAGGTCTATCAGTATACTAAGGCATCCAATGCTACTAAATTTCTCTTCTCAACAATTTGAAATGCATATTCTGAAAGAAATGAAGCTGTCAGCAATGACAGCTGATGCTGACAGCAGGTCAGGTTACGGCAGGGATGGACCCATGTGCAGCTGAGACTTTGCAGAAACATGCAGGAGCTATGGGGGAGAAAGACTGTGGAGCTCACCCCAAACTCAGAGTGAAAGGAGGCTAGGGCAGAAACAATTACGTGGAAAGGAACTTAGAGAAAGGTAGCTGGTCCCTATAACTCTTAACTCATGACAGTTTAAGGAAATCCCTTTTCGGGCTTCCTGTCAAGTTTTTATACAGCACACACTCTCATCCATCCTCCCAATTTGAGTTATTTGAGAGAGCTTCAGGCTTGTTGTCTCCCCTCCCCAGAGCAACCCTTCCTGGAACAGCATGGATAGAAAGCCAGTGCTTTCTCTACTTACACTGCCATCCTCCACATAAACATCAACTCTGCTACCTACCAGTATGGATTGAACAATGATGCCTGCATCTAAGATATACAAAAGAGACTTCAGTCCTTGGGCAGTATCAAAGCTCACTGTAAATATCTGAAATCTCAGATGCATATTCTCTTCAAGTGTGGTCTATGGACCAGAAGAAGTCCTGCCACCATCCAAGAACCTTTAGAAATACAGATTTCCAGCTCCGGTTCAAAATCCACAGAATCAGAAACTGAATTTTCACAAGATCGCCAGGTGGCATGAATTCAGATGAGGGCTTGAGAAGCATAGGCTTCTGCAGTTATTATCTGTGAATTCATCTGGTATTAGATGAAAGCCTGATTATGCTGCATATTTAAATTACATAAGCCAGGCTTTCCATATTTTAAAAACACTTTGCAAACGATTTTATTTATTTTCAATTTTATGTGCATGAGTTTGTGCCTGAATATAAATCTATGATGCACCACGTGTACGCAGTGTCCAAAAGGCCAGAATAGGGATGGGATACCCCTGTGATGGTAGTTGCTGAAAGTTGTAAGCTGCCATATGGGTGCTAGGAATCAAAGCTTGGTCCTCTGGAAGAGTAGACAGTCCTTTTAACTGCTAAGCCATCTTTCCAGCCCCCAGAACCACTCCTCAACTGTAACTACCACACCCTTGGTTTCTTTTCTTTTTTCTTTTTGTTTTTCTTAGAAAGCATTTAATTGGGGGCTTGGTTACAGTTTCAGAGGTTTAGTCCATTGTCATCATGGCAAGGACCTTGGTTTCTATATTAACAAAAGGAAATTGACAAGTTTTTATAAACAGGTATTAAAGATAGTGCTTTAGAAGTCGTTTAGCAACTTAGAAAATCAATCAAATTGATGTTTTGATTTTATTATAGAGGGACAGCAAGAACTTTGTGATAAAGTTTAAAACCAGGAAACAGAAAATTGAAAGTCAGCATG